CACCAACAGGATTTCTCTTCTTTGCAGCCTCTCCAGTATTTTTTTTTTTTTTAAGTATATGAAATTCTCATGGGTGTGAGAGATCTGATTGTGGTTTTAACTGTATGTCCCTATTAAGAGAAATGGTGAACACTTTTCCATGTGTCTGTTGGCCTTACGGATATGATATCTCTTTAGTGAATGGCCTATTCATATATACATCCCATTTATTAATTGGAATGTATTTTTATTTTATTTTTGAATTGTATGTTTTTTATATATTATGGATATTTGTCTATTTTCAGTGTGTCACATATATCTTTAAAATGTTTGTTTTCATCATCTAGTTTAAAAACAAATATCTCATACTGCTTAAACATTCATAATCATTCTAGATTCTCTTTGAAATTATATTGAAATACACACATATAGGGTAAGTGAAAAAGCATCAGGCTTTTCTGCCCTCCCGCAATTAGGATTATGATGGATACTTGTGCTCCTGAATGCATGCCTGATGGCGGGCACCTGGAGTAGGGTGTGGGCATGCATAAGTGGGTACACCTGGGCTGAGAGACTGAGCTTATAAAGGTGGCGTCACGGGGACGCCAGCAGAACCACGAGGAGTGCAGAGAGCAGAAGCAGAACCACAAAAGAAGCAGAGAGAACTCCAGAGAGCCCAGACAGAGTGAAGACTTGCTGGGGGCTGCGAGGCCTGCCAGCTTGCTGGCCCCCCAGTACCCCTGCCTGCTGTGTACCTGGTAAATCCCAATAAAAGCCTGCAAAAGCCACTGAGGGCTCTAGGACTCTCACCTCCTTCACCTCTCTGCTCAGATCATAGAGAACCTGCACTGTGCCATTCCTACCATTACAACACACCAATGAAAACTGCAAAAATAATTATTGTCAACATAACACTCCACAAATGGGGAATGCCATATGATAATGACCCTGACCATAAACATTATTTCAGCTTGCAAGAAGCCTGCTTTTGGATACCACTAACCCATCTTCCATTCACATAGTAATTACTATGATACTCATCATATATATTGAACTTTATATGGATAAAGCCATACAGTATATATTTTTGTGTATCTCACTAGTTCTGTTTAAATAGTATTGAATTAAGTCCATCATTTATTTGCTTAGTATACTTGTTCACTCTAATACAGTAGTATTGTATTTGATTATGTGAAAACACCACTGTTTATCCATTCTAGCTTTGATAGATGGCTTATATTCAATTTTTTACCCTTAGAGCACTGTTAAAAAATTCATGTACATGTAGCTACCATATATATATATGCATTTATGCATTTTGTTGAATGTAATCCTAGGAATAGAATTTCAAGTTGCTGAGGTATGCTTATATTTAGCTTCAGAGACACTGACAGACACAATTATCCAAGGGACTAATAGTGGTTTAAATTTAAACAATAGTGAATGATTATTACAGTTGTTTCACATTTTGCTAACATTTGGTATTGTGTTGTGCTCTAATTTGCATTTTCCTATACCCAATATACATGAACACCTTTTCATGTTTATTAATTATTTGCATATCCTTGTTTAAGATTTGCCTAATTAAGAGTTTTGATTCTTGTATTTTTATTAGATTTTTTAATCTCTAAGATATTGATTCATAGCTATTTTATATGTGTGTGGATATGTCCTTCATCAGATGTATTAGTGGATATCTTTGAAAAACATAAGTTCTTACACTAAATATATTTATAGCATATGGTATTATCAATAATCAAGACATGTTCTCATATATTTTCTTCTAAAAGTTTTCTTCTGTTCACATTTAGATTTGAAATTCATCTGGAGGAAATTTTTGTCTTTAAATTCAAGTTTTATTGACAACTAGCAGGAAGTTGATTTAATCACCAGTGATCAATTAAGTAATCACACTACGTAATGAAGCATCCACTAAAAAAATACAGAAAGGAGAGGATTCAGAGAGCTTCCAGGTAAGGAATCAGAATGTTTCCACATGCTAGAGTTTTCATCTCCTTGATGTGTAATGTCTGCATTTGAGGCATATCCCTATGTGTCTCTTCATCTTAATGTGAATTTATATCTTTTAAAATCCTATGTAGTCAATCAGTGATCTGTTGTGTGAACATATATCCTGAGTTCTGTAAACTACTTCAGCAAATTATTTGAACCCAAGAATGGAGTCCTGGGAACCTCTAGGTTATAGCAGTCAGTAAGAAATACTGGTCACAACTTGGGCTTGTGATTAGCATCTGAAGTGGAGAGCAGTTTTGTGAAACTGAATCCATTAGCTGTGAAATTGTGGATAATGTCAGAATTTAGTTGCATACTTAGACACCTGCTGGTACATACTGGAACTGGGTTTAGTACTTACTATATGTGAATAAATATATTTCAAATTATAGATTAAATAAGTGTAGGAGCAGGAATGACACAGTGCAGGTTTCCTGATCCAGCAGACCGGGTAAAGGAGGAGTCAGAATCCTTAGTGGCTTTTTGCAGGTTTTTTTATTGGGATTTACCTGGTACATGGCAGGCAGGGGTGCTGGGGGGCCGGGAGGCTGGTAGTCCTTCCAGCCCCCAGCAAATCTTCACTCTATCTGGGCTCTCCGGTGATCTCGGCTTCTGCTTCTTTGCTTCTCTCTCAGCTTCTCTTTTGGCTTCTCCTGGCATCCCCATGATGCCACCCTTAAAAGCCCAGTCTCAACCCAGGTGAATCCCATCTACCTATGCCCACACCCTACTCCAGGTGCCCACCATCAGGCATGCATTCAGGACCGCAAGTTTCCATCATCTATCCTGATGGCGGGAGGGCAGAAAAGCCTGATATTTTTCCTTACCCTACAATGAGTAAATCTTGTCACACATGGTTTTCGATCTTTGATTTTAGAAGATATTGGGGATTATTTACTCCTTTATGTAAATCCCTAGGATAATTTATTGTATCAGAGTTACTGAATATTCCTAAGTCTTGTCAGGATAAACTAGTGAATAAAAATGTGTTTTTAACTAAATTCATGTTCAATAATCACAAATGCCCTTTTACTCCATAAGAATGATAGTGTCAGAGGGAATGTTAAATTAACATTGTGGAAAATAAAATACAGAAAACTTATTTTCATGAGGCCTGGAAGCTGGAAGACAGTTCTCATGTATACACACTGAGCACATACTACAGAATCCAACCAAAAGAGATATGCCTTCCGTCAGATCAGGAAGTGATAGGGCTTTGACTATCCCAAGAGGCCCCTCATTACCCAGCCAATCAGAGTATGCCATATCCCAACCAATGAGAAACCACAATATGTCAAACTCCCAGTTTCCTGAAATATTGTTTACAATACTCCATTCCTCCCTCACCCCCATAAAATCTACATAAAAACTTTTGTTCTCTCATTCTGTGGAAGTGCCTAAGTGTTTTGCCATAAGACTGTACTTCTTAACTGCTTTTTTGGTTGTTTCTGAATAGATCTATTTTGCTGGTGAAATAGTTGCCTATTTATTAAAGGTCAACAATATTCATGTTAATTTGAGTCTTAAAGCTTACCTAATATAAACTGTCACTAATTACTATGTAATATATTCAATAGATCCAACTTCTTTAGCTATAGAATAATTGGCATTTTAAAATCTTTATGTAATTAGCTATATTCATTCTAAGAATACTTATAGGAAACAGGTGATTTAGATAAGTACAAAATCTAACAAATGACATTTTTTAAAAAAATGCCATTGTTTATATTTTCATATCCTTTTCTTGGCTCAGTAGATTTTTCATATTATGTGTTTCTCAGAGCATAAAATCTAGCTGCTGCAAATGCCCATCTGCTACATTCTATGAAATTTTTTATGTCCATTGTTATCTACCCATGCACATCTGGTTATGTTTCTATTGTTACAAATAAAATATTAATATTTTCTCATCATACGAATCTTAAATAAAACTCACCAAGAAAGCAAGGCAATAGGAAAAGGGCAACAGGGAAATAAATGTAATAGCACATTAATAATTGGTTACTAAAATTTGAGCGTAGCAATGTGGTTTTAATTTATGATGTTTCTCATAAGTAATCACTAAGAAATCACACTAAATATATGTATGATATCAGATTTAGGTTCAAAATGGTGAGATAAAACATATTTCCTTTCAGGGCTTTAAATTTGATTACATACACTTCTTTCATGGTACTTTTATAAATCAAGTTAGATATATGGTATAAGCCCCAAGGGGAATAAAAAGACAATATATTAATGATCCTTTCTGTCATGATCCCTTGGGTAACCTCTCACTGTTTGATTTCCTGGGCTCACATATTGACAGATAACTAAATTCTAAATGTAGACTGAAAAGGAATAAATCTTTAGCTTAGATATTTAATATAAACACTCCATTCAACAGATGACTATTGCCCTAAAGAAATAAGCAAGCATGTCCAATATGTGGCAAGCACACTAATACAATGTTTACTTAGAAATTAAATTATATGGCAAGTACATGTGGATATCTGGATGAATAGCTAACAGATCAAGTTGTTTTTTTTTTTCCTAATGAATATTACTTGATGCATTTTCACTTGTTGTTTGAACTGATAGATCCAATTGTCCATGATAAAAGAATGAATTCAAATTAGTTAATAATTATTTTCACATGGCAAGATGTCAGAGTGATTAATTTTTCATGATCACACTACCATGGAGCTATGTTGCACAATATTCAAATTTATTTAAGAAGTACAAATGACAGCTTCTGGCAAACTACAACTATGCCCTTTATGTCAGAAAGCTAGATTCAACTTCATGAATAAAGGAAACTCTACATTCCAAATGCTTTACATAGAAGCTAGCACAATAAAGTTTCAGTAATTACTTGTTAAATTAATCAACAAAAGTGAGAAGCTGTTGACATAACCAAAAGTCTGACTAAATAAGAGACTTAATCGTTTATTGAAGAAAAACAAGCTACTTTGAAAAATAACATAGGTGCTTTACCCTCTGCCCGCCGTGGTGGACCCACCACCAAAATGCAGATTTTCATGAAAACCCTCACGGGGAAGACGATCACCCTCGAGGTTGAACCCTTGGATACAATCGAAAATGTAAAGGCCAAGATCCAAGATAAGGAAGGAATTCCTCCTGATCAGCAGGAACTAATCTTTGCTGGCAAACAACTGGAAGATGGACTAACTTTGTCTGACTACAACATTCAGAAGGAGTCCACTCTGCATCTTGTCCTGAGACTACGTGGTGGTGCTAAGAAAAGAAAGAAGTCTTACACTACTCCCAAGAAAAATAAACATAAGAGAAAGAAGGTTAAGCTGGCTGTCCTGAAATGTTATAAGGTGGATAAGAATGGCAAAATCAGTTGCCTTCGTCGGGAGTGCCCATCTGATGAATGTGGTGCTGGAGTTTTTATGTCCAGCCACTTTGACAGACATTATTGTGGCAAATGTTGTCTGACCTATTGTTTCAACAAACCAGAAGACAAGTAATTGTGTATGTCTTCATAATAAGACATTAACATTTAAAAAAAGAAAAGAAAAATAACATAGGTGAAGAAAGATTATGAAATATGCTTCTTAAAGGAAATCTGCTACTTAAAGCCCCTTAGACAAGGCAAGGGATTTAGAGAAAGAGGTGTCAAGATAAAAATTATCTCATGGAAATTATCCCACATCATGGAAAAGATGCTGTACTACTATCATACCTAGAATAAAGATTCTATTTGATTTGATAATTAAAATGAAAAAAAAAAAAACCCTGAAATGGGGATATTTAAATATATTTTATTCCTAGCATTGTGGATTAATATATCACTCACAATCTATCAATTTGTCATCTATTCATCTATATAGGTAGCCATATATAAAAATATTTGAAGAAATGAAGCAAAATGATCAGGTATTTATCCCCGTGAGGTAAGATTATGGTTATTACATCTTTCATTATACATGAACATTTCTAAAGTACATAAATTTGAAGTGTATTGCTTTATAATCATAAAAATTTTTCATGACTTTCTCAGATAAAAGAAATCAATGACTGTTACATTGAGAAAATCATATTATTCCTGTGAGTGGACAAAAGTAGGCACATGCTGTGGGGAGAAACAACCCTCAGGAATAGTCGGCAAAGAGTGATCAGAATCCTTCAAAATTAGACCAAAAAGTCACATTTGATTTTGCTATTATTAACAAATTAGTTGTGATGTAATATTTTATAAGTTTATTTTTTTTTTTGATAATGACCTTTTTTAAAAAATTTATACAAGAACCGGGGTACAGGCCAGATGTGTGGGAGGGTGAGAGGATCCACCAGAGACAGAGAGGGGAGCAGAACAGGCAGCCTGATGAAATACACTGCTGAGGGGAGCAGCGTGTAATACAGGAGAGGTCTGCCGCGCCACGTGGGACCCTCGCCGGCTGGCTGGGATCGAACCAGTGCTGCAGAGGCTGCAGACAGCTTCACAGCGTGGCGCTCAACCGCCTGTGCCACCAGGGGAGGCCCTATTTTGTAAGTTTAGAACACAAATATTTTCTAAATAGGCTGAGTGAGATATGAAAAAGAAAGTGATATATGAACAATAGGACTGACTCTCTGCATACATAGCTCCCAGGCAGAGTTTGGTATGGGGTGATAGGTTTTGAAATGTGTCCTCTTATTCAGCCACCATTTCACTGGTTTAAACATTTCCATCCTGTGTTCATGCCTCCTATAAAGCACTCAGCAGAACTGATATATGGTCACTCATGGGGTTGCAACAGAGCTCTTACCTGTATACACTGTGAAGACCTGGCCAGGGCTGAATAATCCACTCCAGTCTCACTCACCTGGATGCTGACAGAAGGTTTCTGTTTCTTATCCTGGGAGTCACCCCTTTTAACTGATAGCAACATGGCAATTGAGTTTCCCCAGAGCTGGTGATCTCACCGAAAGAGTGTATGTCGCATAACCTTATCTTGGAAGCGACATACCATGACTTCTGCAAAATCCTGCAAAATCCTGCAAATAGTTACATCTATTTGTTCTTTTTTTGCTATTGTTAGAAGAAGCAAGGACAGAGGGCAAATGCTTGAGCAATGGGGTGGCCACCTCCCAAGATAGTCTTAGTGATCTCTGCCACTTATATTTCAGAGCTGTGTGGTCCCTTCCCACATTGTATCAGCCACTGTCAGACACATGTACACCAGGTCCCTGTGACCAGTAAAATTAATTTTACATTCAGATGGCCTGTCTGTAAGGTTTGGCAGCACATGTAATTTGGAAAATAAGAGAGCTAGAGTTTAGCAAGACTCACTCAACATCAATATATATTGATCAAAGACTCTCCCAATAGGTTTATAAGTTATCTGATCTACTGCCATTGTAGATGTTAATTAAATCAGAACCAGAATTGGAATTATTTTTGAGGGTTTTTTGCCCCATGAAATAGAGATCGGAGATAAAGTATCTTTATAAACAACAGAATTTCTAGGGACTAGTCACATGACAAATTGAATTTCAAAGTTTTCAAGACAGGAAAGGAAAGTCAATTTTCAAAATAGATCTATGGGAAGGATATAATATGCTTTAGACTACAATGCAAACATTTGTAATCATATCAATAATGAGGGGGGAAGAGGCAGATATATTTCCCTTATAGCAATGTCACTTTAGCTAGTGAATTACTATGAATTTTTGCTCTCAATTCTCAAAAGGAAAGTTCATAGACAGATAATTATGCAGATTCCCCATGCTGGAGGGGATACTGCTACAGGCTGGATTAGAGAGTCACTAAGTCTTAAAATTTTTATGTAGACAGATATCTGAAAGCAAGCTCAAAATCTGCAAAATTCCTTTGGAGTTTAATTCTGCCAAAGTACCTCAGATTTTTCTATTCTACCCTCATAGAATGACACAGAACCTACCCAAAACAACAATTTTTTGTTGTTGTTTTTATATTTGAAGACAATAGAAGTGATAAAACTAAAATTCAATCTAAAGCATCTTAGAAATGATTGGGAATTTTTTTAAAAAAAAATTTATGTATACAAGAACTGGGGTATAGGCCAGAGGTTTGGGGGTGAGAGGATTCACCAGAGACAGAGTGGGGAACAGAACAGGTGGAATGACTGAAATACACTGCTGAGGGGAACAGTGGGCAAGACAGGAGAGGTCTGCTAAGCCATGTGGCCATGAGGTCACCTCCCTGGCAGGGATCGAACTTGTACTGCAGTGGTTGTGGATAGTTTCATAGTGCTCAGACTTAATCCCTGTGCCACCAGGGAGGCCAGTATTGGAAATTTTTAATAAGCATTTTATCACCAGGCCAAGAAGCAACAGAGACACATTTGCTGTTTGCTTATATATGTACAACTAAGAGCAGACGTTTTCTGTTGTTCTTCCTCATTTCAACTGAAACAAAAATAGGCTGAGTGAGATATGAAAAAGAAAGTGAGATATGAACAATATGAACAATAGGACTGAGAAATGAGCACATATCTCATAACCCACATTCCAAAACTATGAGTTAACCCACCTATATGGGGTAAGCCCGGTCATTGCTAACCTCCATTGTGGGTTTGGGAAGGTTGTAGGTAAATTAAAGCAGAATTCTTTAGAGAAGCTTATCACTTAATTGTGAACTTTTGCCTGGGACATAGGGCAGGAGTGGATGGGAGGGGTGTGAATAGGGCTACTTTCACTTCACTTTAACTCAGTACAAAAAAGAGGTTCATGATGACCAGCTAGTCAGGTTGTCATGAATCTTCTACCACATCTTGTGTTTGCATCATGACTGAAAAATGTAAAGATTAAGAGCTGCAGGCCTGGAAGCGTGGAGAGGAGCGGCTCTGCTGAGAGCGGCTTGCATCCTCGTGGGGCAGAAAGGTACCCATTTCCACTGGATGCTCTTTGTGCCACATAAGCCACACTGGGGTCTTTTAAAATTAACTCCAACCATGGCTAATTAATTCTTTGCATAAGTTGACCCCAGCAATAAGATTCTGGCTGTAGGTCACTAGACTTTTGTTGCATTATGGTGTGTGTTGTACACATGGGGGAGGGGCTTAATGAGTCAGCCAGAGACCTGTCAAGGAAGCTGCAAGCAGAGGCACTGAGAAAAGCTCCCTCTGAGGAAAACAAAATCTCCCAATAAAAAAGATCAAAAACAGATTACAGTGCAATTCTACATACCTAGAGGACATCTGAGCTGCATCATTTTGTGCTAATTAATAAAGACCAGGATATATATGATACTGCCAAGGAAGGAAGAGTGAAGAAATAGAAAATAATGAACAGTTGAAAGGCAACTGTTAGGGATAGAAAAAAGGCCCTCACACCCTCCCCCAGAGAACCACAGCTGCATCTGTGCCATCCCACCATCCAGCTGGGGCTATTGCTTGGTTTCAAGGACCGGAGAGGGTCTGGCAGATCTGGGAGGCCTGGGAAGTCTTTAAGCTACAGCACCTCCCCGCTTAAAAAAAAAAGTGGGGTGAGGGAGTGGAGTAGTTCCAATTAGTTCTGGAACAGAGAGATGTGGTATGAGCAAGGCATGCATATTTATGAGGGACTGCTGCCAACCTGGAGAGGGAAACCTTGAAATGCCTATTGCTTCATTGCCTTGGGGGCAGGTCTCCTCTTTCTGAGACTGCCCAGTGCCTCTCACAGTGTTCTTCCCATTGTGTCCTCAAAAACTTTGTTGCTGGCTTTGCCTGGTACTTCCTGAAATTTTCTGCAAGACACCAAGGACCCCCAAGCAATCCCCAACACAACCACAAAATGTCTTGGAAAATTTCCATTTTGTAAGACCGAACTCTGCCAAGATATGTCATTTGTCTTACAGTTTACTTTAGCAGACAGGGCTTAATAAAAACTTATTTAGGTCAAAGTATTCCTTACAATTTTTCCTCGGTTTAGCAAAAAATCCTCAACTGTATTTGATTACATAAACATTTACCCACTTTTCTGCTGGACCTAAACATCAGCTTCAATACCCTGTACATGTTTGTTGGACCTATCATGTGCTCCAGTGTAGTGGGTCACTTTTGTTGCTCAATCTGACAACTTGATTTTCTTATATCAAATAATATTGTAAACCCTATGAGACATTAATTACCTTAAAAAATCTAAGTACCACATTCCCATTCTCATTCTCACATCTTGCTACAGACATGTGGTGTTAGGGGAACAGTATATCCTGATCATTCACCCACCCCACCCACTGATGTTTTATGAACTCCACCCCCACCTCTGTCAGGGTATCATTTAATAAAATTAAAACTTAGTCTCTGCACTTTGCTCAGCGGAACAATGCTAGGAGCCACAAAATAGAGTTGCCATGGGAACCTGGCCATGGGTCTGCATGACCCTTAGGGGCTATCAAGAATTCCAGGCAGGGGCCTCCCCTGGTGGCGCAGCGGTTGAGCGCTGGGCTGCGAAGCTGCCTGCAGCCTCTGCAGTGCCAGTTCGATCTCTGGCCTCCGGGCGAGGGTCCCACAAGGTGCGCAGACCTCTC